GCTTATGGCATGCTGACTGCCCTTTTGGCCAGGAACACAGGTATTTGGCCATCCTAATCCGGTCGAAAACTGTCTAGAGCCATGCTGGTCACGCACCCCCAAGGCAGTAACGGCTCACAGCAGCACTCAGATTAGCGGAACCATAACGACTGCCTAACATGTGGTAGACGGATCTTCCTTGGGGGCTCTAGACAGAGAAGGTAGCGGAAGTTTGACAATCCTAACCCGGCTTTGATAGATCCCGCCTAGCACGTTTTGATGGACTATCACATGAATCCACCCTCAACACACAAACAGTGCTTGGTCACTCCACAGATACTGGACAGATACACTGGAGCTCAGTCATTGTCGCCATTGGGCCATTGCTCTATGTTGTTTTTGTTCCACGATGTTACTTCGCTACCAGGCTTGCTAGTGGAACTGCTGCACATGGCATACAGCATACACTCCTTGCCCACTAATTTAACTCGTTTTTTACATTCGCTTCTATATGTTCAAGTAATTGCGCTTATTTCTCGTGCATGCGTACATTCGAATTCAGTAAAAATACATTCCGTCATACAGACATGTACTGATACATGTATTAGCGCGAACCCTTGCCGCTCGCCTTGTGCAATGCTCACTGCTCTTGGAGCATTTTGAGCACTCTTGGCGGGGTTTGCAGCTCTTTATAAAAATGCTTTGCTTCACGGAAACGTATTTCATTGTGAAGAGCTGCGCTTCGGTCCTCTGAGCTGTGCTGAGGAGCTCTAACAGAGCGAAACAGTTGCTGTCCACAGATTTGAGTACATGTACATGTAGATATATCCCTGTTGTTGCCTTCCTGCGTCAAGATTCGGACAAATTCCAGTTGCATGATGTAGTAAAAGGACTATTCGTGTGCTGCGGGTGGGAAGTTGATTGAAAAGATGTCACATAGATCTGACAGGTTCAAAAGCAGTTCAGAATCGCTTGTCCAGAATAGGTGGGGATCACGATTGTCTATATCTCGCAGGCTTGTACTACAAAGAGCTCCATTTGCTTCGATATTCGCTGCTACACAGAGCTTAGGTTTGTCGCTGGTCTAATCCATCTCATCTTCTTCACGTTCATCATGAAGGTCCTCGTTGCTTTCCTGGTCGTATGCCTTGCAGTGGCAGTGCGGTCCCAGAGCTGCAAACAGACTATTGCCACCTCGTGCACTGGTGGTGACTCGTACAGTTGCGGTGAGGTCACAGTCACTTGCAACTCCTACTGCTTGTCCGGATCTACGTATGCCAAGGTTCTAGGTAAGTCATTCCTTAGAGCTCTAAAAGACCCGAGGAATTAAAATCGGCGAAGCGAACCCCTTTCAGTCTTCAATATGGAAGCTAAGCTATTTTTTTCCAACGCAACCAAGCCTCTTGTACGGGCAAAATAAACACAATAATTATTACGAGTGCAACCTCAACAACACCAGAAGAAAAACGAGCAAAAATGGCTGTGAAAACAGTCGAGAGAGCAAAAATGGCTGTGAAAACAGTCTAGTACTACAGTCTAATGTCATACAATGGCTGTGAATACAGTCTAATGTAAAAAATAACAATTCTACTTCCAAATGTACAACTACGATGTACTTAGTACAGTCATGTCAAAAACCGGCCTTGGACACCGAACACAACTGCCTCAGGACCGGATAGCCGCTTCAGCCACCACCCTCACGACAGAGGTGTCCATGGCTGGCAGGGGACGAATCCGCCGTGCGCCCCGCAAACATGGATCTCAGCAGGGCAAAAGACAGCCGGCACCGGATCCACGACATGACCTGGCTCTACGGCTCCTTCGTCTTCTCTGAGACTAGAGACGCGACACGCTTGTAAAAGGTGGTGGCAGATTTCCCCATCCCACCACTAGCTGAGAAAACCAATTGCAGGAAGGTGGCATGCTCAATATCCCTGACGCGTTGGCCATAGTGTCGACGTTTTTCCTTCTCATGGCGCTGGTACGTGCTGGTGAGTGAGGAGGTCCGATTCGATTGCGCGAAAGGGTTGAAAACCCGTACATCGAGAAACACACGCTCGAATCTTCCACCCCACACACCACTAGCCGCCACATCCAATCGGGCCTGGTCGTCAGTGATAGCGGTTCGGTACTGCAGCCTTTCTCCAGTTAGCGGCTGGAGTCGAGGCTCGACTGCCACATTCGTGGCAACTCTCTTGAGCAGATTCGCTGTCACGTCACGAAGCTCGTTGTGACGGATTGTCGGGTAGCCGCCAGTGCTGCAGGAAAGAGCGTGGGTCACATCGAATAGGGCTTGAAAGTGATGACGTCAAAAACGGCCTGGGAGTAGTAAATTGACATCAGATTTCTATTTTGGATCCACTAAGGTGTGACTTTGCTATTGCCTCAGTATGTGGGTGCATAGCAACCCACTCATGTCGTATGCAGGTGCAACTTTTACTTCGCCACCAGTTGTCACCCCGCCCCCACTAGCCAAATCAGTCAGTTTCACTTGCAACATCACCTTGCTGTGAGTGAGACCGCTTGAAATGTGCTTGGATCCATACAAAAACTGGATCCAGGTGGATCCAGTTTTCGAATTTTTCAAATTGTTGCTATGCCATTGCTATGGAGTGACGTAGCACTTTCAAGCCCTATGGCTCACCACACACACACGCTGATGGTAGGCGGCTGGGCTGCCATCCATACCGCAGAGCTAGGCCATCCCTGAACTTACTCTTGGATAGGGAGAACTCATGAGCCTTCAGTGGACGGCAGGTTAGCCAGCTGGATGCTCCAGATTCGCGGGCCAGGTGGATAGTGCGCTGCAGGCTTTCAGGAGCTGCGGTGATGAAAGACGCAGCAGCCTCCTGAATACGGCGGCGGGCTTCATTGCGTACCCTGGTCTTCACGCGACCCTCCCTCTTGCAGTCACACCGAACGCAGGTGCCGTTGCCGTTGCACCGGCAACAAATGGCACTCTGCATCAGTGGGCTTGCTGCAGAGGCACGCAGAAGCTGGAAAATCCACAGAAAACTAAAAACTAGAACTCGAAACGCTATCGAAACACTGTGTATTGAGCAGGGAGTAGTGCTTTCTTGCAGGCTTGCCGAATCGAAGGTTCGATGGACTTCTCGTGTTCTCTGGATGGCAGTCGTGAGAAACAACGACCACCCAACTTGGGAGGCTCATGTTATCAGAGATGAGCAAAACAGGGGAAGTTACGCAATCACGAAGCAAGACAGACCGGACGGCACTGTCTCTTTGTACTATACTACATGTACATGTGGAATGGAACTTGTGATGGACTAACAAACGGCAATATCAAGTAGTGTCACACGACGTACGTTTCGCCGTAAAGATGCTGACGGATCATCAGGTGTGCAGACTCGGATGGAGAGCCAAGGATTGAAATTCAAAAAGAGGACCAAAAGTTTACAAGTTATCCGAAATGAGCTGTGGCCGTCCTGTGCCGTGGTCCTTCGTCCTTCATCACCATCTTGTGATACCTAACATTATCAAAAAAGTATTCTTTCTAGACCAAAGAGTGGTATATTTGATAAAATTTAATAACGATAGAAATATTTACGATACTTCTCCAGACGTTTCGTTGTTCTGAACAACATCGTCAGTGGATAAAGAAAGTAGTTCTGTAGTACTTTATCCAATGACGATGTTGTTCAGAACAACGAAACGTCTGGTAATAATATAATATTCGCGGGATCCGCGTCGGCATCGCTTGAATGTTCAGAAACACACAAACTAGCCTTCGCATCCGCAGGCCACCACTATGCCACTAAGTAGTTCTGTAGTGCTTTATCCAATGACGATGTTGTTCAGAACAACGAAACGTCTGGAGAAGTATATAAATAATATAATATTCCCGGGATCCGCGTCGGCATCGCTTGAATGTTCAGAAACACACAAACTAGCCTTCGCATCCGCAGGCCACCACTATGCCTGTTAACCCCAACAGACAGCCTCAGCAGCCCCAGCATACGATCAATGTAAACTGTCATGAAACGCCGACTCCTGTCGTTACTGTGGCCAGGTATCTTGGAGTGCTCCTCGACTCGGATCTGTCATGGACGCCCCATGTTGATCGCTGCACCGCTCGACTGGCCCAGAGAATCGGAGCACTATGGAGGTTGCGTCGCTGCTTGACTCATCAGAGCCGAGTTCTCTACTTTAAAGCGATCATCATGTCTGACCTGATGTACGGATCCAATGCGTTTTCCCCGCTTCTTACTGCCAACCAATTGGATCGGCTACAAGTCATGCAGAATCGGGCGGCAAGGGCGGTTTTCGGACTCTCGCATCACACCTCCGCGCGTACCCTCCTGCTGCAATTGGACACCTACAGAGTATCCGAGATATTCAGGCAGAAGTTCATCGTTCTGGTCTGGAGGTATCGGAATGAGCACGCAAGTTCTGAACTGCAAGCCCTCCTAGTTCCTTCGTCAGCTGGCCCAACTAGGTTGCACTCCACCATGGGTCTGCGCCAACCGCCAGTTTCCACCAGGTTCGGCAAGGGTTGCCTCGCGTTCCGGGGCGCCCAGCTGTGGAACACATTACCCAGCGATGTACGTGCCATCTCCACGCTCCGCCAGTTCCGCGCCAGCATGATCCCGCACACACTTACTGGCCTTAGTACCTAGAGTACCAAACGTCCTGTTTGATGATCAGCTGGCTTAGTTTTTCTCCACCTCTATCCTAATTACATCAGTCCCCAATTTCATTTATTACTGCTTTCTATCTGCATTCGCCACCTTTTCATTGGGCAGATCTGCCCGTTTGGTTTGCGAATTAAAATAAACACAACAACAACAACAACAACCTTAGTGGCGAATGCAGGCCTCACAAGTGAGTCAGGGGAGAGGAGGTTAGTCTCTCAACCAATCGGGCGTGTAACGGCCCATAACCCTGTAAACTGCATCCTTGTTATTCTCACTCCGAGCTGTGAGTACTGAGTACTCAGTAGATTCTACACAGACTGTCAGGGCACAGTCAGTCACTCTCGACTCGCTACATGTAGCGCCTACGCCTATGCCATAATCATGATACTTGATAGTAATGGCCTAGGCCTAGCCTCCTCATGTATGACATTGTGATGTCATTGTGATGTCATTGTGATTGTGACATCGTTTCCATAATATTATGTCCTTTTCCTTTCTACTTTTATTATTGGCTCAATACTCGAGTTTCAAATTGCACACCTGATGAGCCGTCACGAACCATACGGCGAAACGTACGTCGTGTGAAACAACTTGTTTTGTAGTCAACTAGTCCATCACAATGTCATGCATGAGGAGTACTGTAGGAGTTTAGATTTCGGCTTGTACAATTCGTTCTCGCAAAGCTTCCCCCTTCTTAACTTATCTTTGATATTTTTGACCCACCCAAGTTGGGTGGTGTGCTGCTTTGCTGCTTCGAATTGTATGTTAGACCGCTTTGTCAAATCGCCTACTGGTCTCGTCATCGTCCAGTGACAATCGACATTCTTTGTTCCGTTGGGACTGTAGCTTGTGCTCGTTTTCGTTGCGCTTGCCTTCCCCTCTTTGGTCTTTCCATAACCTTGAACCTTCCAAGTTGGAAGGCTGTCGGTTAGCGCTACGGAAATGTGTTGAAGCTAGGTGTCAGGACGTCGAATGTTTCAGTACTCTGTCAGTTTTGTGCCTAGTTGTTGCACTTTCTTACTGTATATAGTATCTAGTTACAGTGGTGGAGAGTTACTCTTTAAAACTCGTTTCCATATGTCCTTTTCCTTTCTACTTTTATTATTGGCTCAATACCCGAGTTTCAAATAATAATAATAATAATAATAATAATTAAAAAGCTTACGTGGAGATAAAAATGTAATCAACGCAATAAATAGAGTAAGCTGCGCACTCAGTACAAACACCATTAGCAAAACTTGTTTTCATGTAAATAATTAAACTTGTTCCTAAACGTTTTCGTCGCCATCTCATCAGAGCGTAGTCAAAGGTATCTGCGTGTATTGGAGTCTATCTACATTTTTACTACCAAGCCGATTTTGTGTAGGCAGAAAAAGAATTTGTTTACGTTGAAATTGTTTGTGAATTTAGATCAGTAGTTCTCGTTTGTGGTGCATGGTTACTTTCTAGTAGTGAATTTATCGCATCTGTTGTCACCTGATATCGTTGATTGATGTAATGTTTTTTCAGCTCTCATTTTCTCGCGCTAGTTAGGGTCTAAATTACTACTTGCATTGTGCGTATATATATTGAGTTTAGAGCTAGTTTTGATTTGCCAGTAATCCTCTGATGAGATGGCGACGAAAACGTTTAGGAACAAGTTTAATTATTTACATGAAAACAAGTTTTGCTAATGGTGTTTGTACTGAGTGCGCAGCTTACTCTATTTATTGCGTTGAATAATAATTGTAAAAGAGAAAAGGACATATGGATACGAGTTAAGAGTAACTCTCCATCACTGTAACATGATACTATATACAGTCAGAAAGTGCAATAACTAGGCACAAAACTGACAGAGTACTGAGACATTCGACGTCCTGACACCTAACTTCAACACATCTCCGTAGCGCTAACCGACAGCCTTCCAACTTGGAAGGTTCAAGGTTATGGAAAGACCAAAGAGGGGAAGGCAAGCGCAACGAACACGAGCAAAAGCTACAGTCCCAACGGAACAAAGAATGTCGATTGTTACTGGACGATGACGAGACCAGTACGATATTTGACAAAGCGGTCTAACTACAATTCGAAGCAGCAAAGCAGCACACCACCCAACTTGGGTGGGTCATAAATATCAAAGATAAGTAAAGAAAGGGAAGCTTTGCGAAAACGAATTGTACAAGCCGAAAGCCAAACTCCTACAGTACTCCTCATGCATGACATTGTGATGGACTAGTTGACTACAAAACAAGTTGTTTCACACGACGTACGTAAACCTTTTTCACATGCACAGACAATTTGCATCCACACCATTATATTATAATCGTACCACAGCATAGTATAGCACTATCATTGGCATAATTCCAGCATGATGTAGCATTATCACTGGCATAGTTCCAGCATAATGTAGCAAATTTATTGGTAATGTGGGCATACTGGAAAGCATAATTATATGTATGCTTTCCAGTGGCGGACTATGCTTAGTGTATTGTTAAAAGCAATACACTGAGCATAAATCCGCCAACGGCTAACAAAGAGTGCTCAGGAAGGAAACAGGCAATCCTATAGTGAGAGAAACCCTGAGTGCCTGATTCTTAGCTATCCGAGGGCGCTAGGTCATTCATTAGAATCATTACCTAACGCCCTTGAAGGTCTTATTAATTTCACGGTTCGCGTGAGACTCGGCTGGAAGCCGGGCTTTCCGCATCCGTAGGAACGCCACCACCCGTACTAGAAGGATCAAAGCGCAGCTGCAGCTCCTAAAGCGGTCGAAGGTCTTAGGATAAAGAAAAATCACATATCTTGGGCATATTTCTTTACCTCTGTCCCTCTGCAGGTATTGGTGTTACCAACTGGCACAAGAAATGCTACACCGCCAGTGACGTTTCCCGCATCAACTGCGGAACCCAGAACTACACCTGCAAGACGGATACCGCGTTCGGTTTGACCTCCTCCTACTGCTGGAGATGCTGCACCGGCACTGACTGCAACAACGGCACTCCACCCAGTGCCTCATCCTATGCACAACCTCTGAAGAGATGCAAAGTGACCACGGGCACAAATACTGGCAGCACCTACAACTGCGCAGAGAGCACAGAGCCGTGTGATTCCTACTGTCTGTCAGGGTCTAATTATGACATAGTTAATGGTAAGCTGTTTGGGTTACTACGCTAGTATTAGTATCAGTGCATAACATCAAAGAGTATGAAGATTTTAAACCCCTTTGTGCACCTGTCGGGAAAGGAAAGGAACGCGATTAGTGCCCCCGGGGCACTATTTTTTCAATGTCCATCGCAGATGGGGCACTATTCAAGAGAGGGTACTATTCAAGAGAGGGCACTATTCAAGAGAGGGCACTTTTTTCAGTGCTGGTACATTTCCGTCATTCAGCATAAAGACAAAGCAAAACAGAGCCCAACGTTTACTGTAAACTATCACTACTCAACAGAAACGGCGACAAGAACTGCGACTTTGATCCTGAAACCACCAGTGCAATGAGATGGTCAAATACATTAGCATAAATAGCACCTACAATCCATTAAAAAAAAACTTTGACAATCCTGGCGATCGCCCAGGAGTTTGCCGTCTTACCGTATGTGGTGTCTGGAAAAACTCGCTGTGAACTCGAAGAAATATTCCGTGCGAAAGCATAGAAAACTATGACAACATATGTATGTATGTATGTATGTATACTTTATTTGAATTCGCAAATCCAAACGAGCACAAATGCTCAATGACAAGGCAGCGAATATGTTATTATGTTACAGGGAAGGAGGGTTGGGGAGAAAATAAGGAGAACAAAGAGAGAATGGTAGATATCTCAATGAAGAGCGAAGCGTTATCAAACTACAAGTAAGCCAGCGAACGATAAGTCGATAGTTCTGTAACCCGCCTAATAAACTAAGTACTTTTTTCAGGCGTGCAGTGGACTGTCATTAAAACAGAAACAGAAAAATAATAATAAGGCACCCATTTTGTTTGTCCAGGGGATATGCACGCAGCGCAGGTACATGTACGTCTGGTTTACAATAAACAACTTATTTCTTGCTCGTACAGTACGGATCGGCTATAGGCTATATAGCGTTGGTGTTTGATTTTCGTGAAAATATCACTATAGGCGATATATTACTATAGGCGATATGCATACTCAGGTATGCCTGACAAATGCGTGTATGGTGTCATTCGAATCAGTGCAGCGTGCAGAAGCGTACTGTGCATGTGACTGTGCAGTACGCGCAGTGCAGAGCTACTTCCTGCGGAAACAAAAACTTCGTGACTTTTTGACATGAGTTTTCAAGGAGTTGCTGTGCTCAACAAATGTGTTCTTTTGGAAGAGAAACACTTCAACACATTCAATCGACATAATTATCAACAATATCTACAGGATCGATTAGTGGGAGTAGAGTCTCAGTCTTGGTCGTCATCGCTCGACTCATCACCGCTGAAACCGTTCCAAGTGGCAGGACGATCGACACGTGATGTCGTATATGGAGTCACAGAGGACAAGTCGACACCGTGGTAAATGTTGAAGTGCGGCATGAGTCCCGATTTGTTTTGTGACCAAATAGTTTCTTTGAGCTGCGTCCCTGCGATGCAATTTATCTTCACCGTGTGACGAAGACGACATGGACACGGACTCATTCTCCAGGCCATGACTTGGCAAAGCCATCGATCCGTGTGACTTCGGCGGCATTTTGAGAAAAAACAGACGCCTGTGGAATCTGATAGAAGACGTCGCCGACTCCTAAATTCGTATAAATTGACGATCGTGGATTCGTGATATTAAGTTGATTCAGGGTTCCAACAGGACGCAGGACAGACTGGACGTGGAGCAGCACACTGATCTCGACCGAGGCAGTTGGAGTTGCAGGGACGCAGGGCGTAATGGGAGAGATTCGCAAGCGGCAATATCGGAGGTGACAACGGCCAAGTCGTCGGGTCAGGGAAACGGTACCTCAGCAATCAAGTGTCACCTGTCGGGCAGTCCCGCTGTCCTTCTGGACACACTCGTCCTGATTGCTGCGAGGTTTATTCTGATTCTTCTTTTTCTGTTTTGTGCCGTGCTCGTCATGGTTATAAGTTGCAGTTGAGTGTGTTAGAAGCTGTTTGTCAACGTATTCATAAGCCTAATCCGTGTGTCCAGAAGGACAGCATTATTCGTTTAAAATTGTTTTAGTAGCAGCGTGTTCTGTCTGTTTGGCTCTGGTTGGCCATGGTGTCATATCTTGTGTCACAGTATACTAGTAGTCCTTACAAGTTCGCTAAGTGCTTTCGCAGTTTTTCCTGTTATTACCTTATTATTATTATTATTATTATTATTATAGACAACACCTCATGGCATGAGAAGAAAATCAGCCAGTACGGGAGATGTGGGTGTTAACCAACCATGGTGAATAAAAGAAGAAAAGTAATGGTCAAGACGGAGAAGCATGGGAGGGACAGGTGATGGTGAATCTAGTGAGCAGATTTAAATGCGTCCAGGGTACTGGCATTGCGCGTAGTAGCGGGCAGCGCAAGCCAAGCAGAGTAAGCAACAAAGAGTGGAGAGCGTACAAGGGAGGACGTTTTAGCCAAGGGGAGGGCAACAGAGCATCTTGTCTGGGAGCCATCTGTGATTCGGAACCAGTTATACACGTTAAGATGAGGAGGATGTAGAGCTAGTTTAAATTTGTGAGCAAAAGTGCAAATTAATTTTTGACGGTGGGTCGACAGTGGGCAAGCATTTGCAAGGACATACAGGGAAGCAGAAGGGTAGAGAGGGGGTAGACTAAACAGGATACGAAGAAGTTTTCTATGGTGGATTTCGAGATGCTCAGCGAGAACCGAGGACAAGCCACACCAGCTAACAGCAGCGTACATGAAAAGAGGCAGGATGTACAGTTTGTAAAACAAAATTTTACATTTGAAAGGAAGATGGAAACAATGGGGACGTATAACACCTAGGGCAGAGCTTGAACGGCTGCAAAGAGCATCAATATGGAAAGACCAAGAGAGACGATCATCAAGCATTATTCCCAGGTGTTTATGGTTGGAAACAACCTTTATGGGTTCTGGGAAATCAGGATGGTGTAAAAGTGACATGGATGAGATTGGGGGAAGGAACATTATTTCGGTTTTAGTCAGGTTGGGTCTAAGTCGCCATGTTTGCATCCAGCGTACGACACTGCATATCTGAGCCGACACTCGAGGTACAAGAGCCGCTGAGGACGAGGATGCTGACAGTAGGGTTGTATCATCAGCAAATAACGAGACACCTGGGTCTATAGAGGGTAAATCATTTACGTATGCTACGAACAAAAGAGGTCCAATTATGGAGCCTTGGGGAACTCCAGAAGACACTGGTAGAGGATCAGAGTTGATGGAGAGGGCAGAAACAAACTGTGATCGGCTACTCAGATAGGACTCCAGCCAGGACAGAGCAGGGCCAGACACACCAAAGACAATATGTAGCTAGGCAAGGAGGCCACGATGCCAGACAGTATCAAAGGCCTTTGCCAAGTCAAAGAAACAGAGAGCAATATGGTGTCGAGCATCACGAAGGGTGGCAATGTCTTGTACTAGACGAGCTAGTTGGTCAGAGGTTGAGTCGTTGCGCCGAAAGCCAGATTGGGAAGGGCTAAGGCATGGTGAAATGTGGCAATACAACTGGTCGTAAAATACCTTTTCACATACTTTTGAAAGGGAGCAGAGAAGAGATATTGGACGATAGTTTGAGGCTTGTGATCGGGAGCCTTTACACTTGTAGATGGGCGTGACCTTAGCGATCTTCCAACGATCAGGAAATACGCCGGAGGAGTAGGAAAGGTTGAATATAAGGCACAGTGGGTACGCCAGAGATGGAGCCAGAACTTTGAGAACTTCATTTGGTAGGGCATCAGGACCAGGGCTTTTGTTGCTTTTTAGTCTTTTTAGGTAGCTGCGAACAGATGATGTGGTGGTATGTATAGAGCGCAGATCAGAAGACACAGTCGCAGAACGTTGCAGAGGTGGTATTGGAGAGGAATGGTCGTCTGGAATACCAGCTGATGTGAATTGCGTATTGAGAGTATTAGCTATAGACTTGGGGTCAGTCACCATCGAACCATTGGAAGCTAATAACGGTGGTATGTCTTGACGTGTACTAGTTGTCCTTTGAGTGCGAACAAAGGTATACAGGTTAGGCCTGGAAGAGGGGTGAGATAGGGTGGTAGTGAGCGAACGTAAATATGCTCGATACTTAGAACGTGACAATCAATGACTTCACCAGATTGCGCTGTTTTTTGTATAAAGAAATATTAGCATAGGTGGAGTACTTCTTACTTAAGCTATAGTAGTCGTATTTGAGTTTAATTGCACCTTGGAGATCTTTGTCGAGCCAAGGGATCTTGGGGTTACGGCTGGACTGACGAGGGTGGTGGCTGCCATGTTTGGGTGTAGCGGGTCTTGCTCCGTATTGTGGCACATAGAAGGAGATCACGTCATCAAGAACTGTGGTGAACTTCTCCACAGCTTCATCAACAGTAGTGGAGGTGAATAAAAGATGCCAGTCACAGGCAAAAAGTGCAGAGTTGATGATTGACCAAGTGGAGGGTGTAACCTTGCGGAAGGCATGTCGCGGAGGGGTAGGAGTCTGAGAGCAGTTGTAAGAGGTGTCAGCAGTGGCAATGTTGTAGGCTAGCGTTGTAATGACTTGCAAATGATCCGATGCAGCAAGCGGGGCAGCATCGTCAACAGAGCGTACAGAGAGGGGGCGGTTCGTAGCAAGCAAGTCCAGACAGGACAGTCTTCCATTCGGAGCGACACGGGTGGGGAAATTGACAAGCTGCTGGAGGCCAAAGCTAGAGAACACGTGTGATAGCTCCGTACAAGCACGCGAAGTGGTGTCACCACTCCACCAGTCAGAATTGTGGGCATTGTAGTCACCGGTAAGAAAAACATCAAATAAAGAGAGGTCCAAGGAACACAGCGTGTCGGTAAGTATGTCGCAAAAGGAGGTGATATCAAGAAGGGATTGTGAAGGGGGGCGGTAATGACAGCAAATGAGTAGCGGATTGGCCCGGAGACCTGCCGGTGCACCAAGCTCAAGCCATAAGGCCTCGCTTTGGGGAGAATCAAGGTCATGACGACGGGTGCAATGTGGAAATGTCCCATCACGTATGAGAATGGCCACGCCACCATATCCACGTAGGTTTGATCTCAGGTTCTTATGTGTAGATCTGTCTTTACGGAAGCATGTGTAGCCTGGAACACTGAATGAAAGTGACGGGCTTAGCCAGGTTTCTGTTAAACATATTATGGTGGGCTTGTTGGCCTGACATATTGCGTACAATTCCGGAAGTTTGTTTGTTACAGAGCGACAGTTGATAGTTACAATGTTAATAGAATGTGCGTGGTCCGGGAAAAACGGGAAAGCATGAGCTAGGATTATCATTTTCATAGGTGCTGTTTCTTCTCACTCCATTTCTCTTTATTAGTATCTTTCTGGATTGTTTTTCATTAGTACAACGTAGCTTCCTGAGGAGTGTTATGCGAAAACTAGTTCGAAGTACAATTTTTTGTTCATCATTTTTTCCATATCACATTTTTTCTTTCTTCCATGTTTTTCACTGCCTTCGTATCCACTCGTTTTTTGAAAACAATAAAAGCCTTTGTGAAATGTCGGTTCAGCTCGTTCTGTTGATCGCAATTCTAAAATTATTATTATTATTATTATTAAAAGTAGAAAGGAAAAGGACATATGGAAACGAGTTAAGAGTAACTCTCCACCACTCTTAACTCGTTTCCATATGTCCTTTTCCTTTCTACTTTTATTATTGGCTCAATACCCGAGTTTCAAATTATTATTATTATTCAAATTTTGAATAGGGAAATCCCCACAACTATAATCATACTGAGCAATAAAACAGGACTACTTCTGAAGTAGGTTATTAGAAGCAAACAAATAAAAGCCCAGTGATATACCACCACTCTCAATTATATAATTTTTCTCGTGCAAGCGAAATTGCTTCTGAATTTAGAAAGGGAATATTATTATATCAGCCTTGGTGGAAGACAGCTCCACAGCTTAGTGATTGTATGCAGAAAGAGAGAAGAAGAGATGCGACCATGAGAATTGAAACAGTTTGTTGGTCTGTGTGCCCTGGAAGCTATAGTCAGTATGTGTGACCACGTCACCTGGGCTTATTCTTTAAAAACCTCAATAATAAGTCCCTCCCGCTGCTTTCCTTTACCTCCGCAGGATCTGGTGTAACCACCTGGACCAAGAAGTGCTATACCTCCAATGACACATCCCAGATCGATTGCGGAACCCAGAAATCCACGTGCAAGACGGATGGGTTCGGACACGCATACTGCAGGAGATGCTGCAATGGAACTGACTGCAACGACGACACTCCTCCAAGTGCCTTATCCTATGTACAATCTCTGAAGACATGCCAAGTGACCACGGGCACATGTACTGGCACCACCTACAACTGCCTAGAGAGCACAGAGTGGTGTGATTCCTACTGCCTGTCAGGGTCCGATTATGACATCGTTAATGGTATGCCGCTTGGGTTATTATTGTTAGCATGAGTGCATAACATCACAGAGTATAGAGCTTTTAAAGCCCTGTGTGTATCTGTCGGCTAAGAAAAGGAATATATGGTTGAGAGTTGAGAGTAACTGTCCTCCACCGTAACTAGATAATTATCGCTCAACATTTGAGTTTAAATATTGGACCTGAAGGGGTTGGCGAATTCTGCTCGGGATACTGGCAAACATTATTTTCATCTTAGTCAATCTGATATTATTTCAATTTATTTGCTCTCAAAAGACCATTATTCTGCTTCTCTTTTACTCTATGATGTATCCAAAAATGTATCCATATGTCATGTGATGAACACAAGAAACTAGGGTAAAACAGACAAATGCTAGTGACGCAGCCAGCGTAGGCTGCGTTTACAATTACACGACCACGCAGGCACGCACGGCGTCCCGTTTTCCGTTTTCGATCCTGTATTTCTTCATAGACTCCTTTCCGTTTTGGTGCCTTCGTACGGTTACAGCTGATCCGAGCCTGATCTTCATTTTTATCGTTCATATGTATCGTGTTCGCGCTTCTATAGTAAGTTGCGGCCACTTGAAAGTACGAAGAACACAATTTTACAAACTCAGAAGCTCCATAAAGCATCACCGCAAAGTGAATTTTATCCCCGGATCTCAAAGCAAAATATGCAGACTTTGAGAGCATAATGCGAGCTATTATGGAAGAATATGATTTCGCGAGCATAATCCGAAGGAGCCTACACCTCGTGAGCCTGTTGCTGGAGCACGTCTGGATGTTGAACATCTGGTTTAGTTCGTGGACTCTACCGCATGACTTGTGCCCTACTGGTTTCCATATCTTCAATTCTAAAATTCCTTGGCTCTCCATCTGAATTCGAACTATAATCATACTGAGCAATAAAACAGGACTACTCCTGAAGTAGTTTATTCGAAGTAAACAATTAAAAGCCCAGTGATATACCACCATGCTCAATTATATAATAAATTATTTTTCTCGTGTCAGCAAAATTGCTGCTGAATGTAGAAAGGGAATCTAGGGATGTCAGCCTTGGTGGAAGGCAGCTCCATAGCTTAGCGATTGTATGCAGAAAGAGAGAAGAAGAGATGCGACAATGAGAATTGAAACAGTTTGTTTGCGCGGTGTGCCCTGGAAGAGATTAAGGACTATAGCCAGTGTGTATTACCACGTCACCTGGGTTTATTCCTCAAAAACTTCAATAATGAGTCCCTCCCGCTGTTTTCCTTTACCTCTGCAGGAGCTGGTGTAACCACCTGGACCAAGAAGTGCTATTCTTCCGCTGACACCTTCCAGATTGATTGCGGAACCCAGAACTCCGCGTGCAAGACGGATAGCGCGTCCAGACACACATACTGCAGGAAATGCTGCACTGGAAGTGACTGCAAGGACGCCACTCCGCCCAGTGCCGTATCCTATCTACAATCTCGGAAGACATGCCAAGTGACCACGGGCACATGTACTGGCAGCACCTACAACTGCAAAGAGAGAACAGAGTTGTGCGATTCCTACTGCCTGTCAGGGTCCAATTATGTCGGGGTTGATGGTAAGCCGTTTGGGTGAATATTGTTAGCATGAGTGCACAACGTCACAGAGTGTGAAGCGTACCACCCTAGCCCTGTGTGTACCTATAGGGTCTGCAAATTCTGCTCTGGAAAAAATTGCCAAAAATTGTTTATAAGAGCTATGAAGAGTATGAATGGCGGCGTTATGCCACAGACATCACCACGCAATATGACAACTAATACTTGGTAGATGTGTAAATGTGTTTGTGTCCAGAATCGATTTCCAGGGGCCGATCATCAGTGGAAACACCGTACTAAAGTGATCAGGCTGGCGGTAGGCACGGGCGGATAATGCTAGCATAATAACTAGCATAATGACCCATGTGGGGAAGACCGGCACTGCCCTAGCATAAAGTTTCCAAATGTTTACCTTGTCTAGCACAATCGATGTTTGAAACTAGCACTACGTCCAGTCTGTTGGTACGAGTGTAAAAAGTAGCGCTACTTTTAGAGCGCAGAGACCCACAAGGCTGCTCCCTGCGATGCTGGACCGTAGACGAGCGTAGACCGGGACGCAAGCGTACAAAACGGCTGCAATCGAGTGTGAACAGGAGACGGCGTCGTGCGCCGACTACTCCCGATTCGTACTTGGAAATTGTTAGCATTTCCAACACTGCGCTTCCCATGATAACGTCTCTGCTTCGTTCAGGGAATTCAGAATAGAAAGTCTGCTGTACCACCCGCTCTTTTCTTTTTACTTTTAAAAGCGATTATTTGTAACATAGAAATTTGTTCGTTGGCTCACCCGCTGAGTTCCTAATTCATTTTCTGCTGCCCCCGGTTATTTCTTTTATTAGTATTATTATTTTCTTTGCTTTCGCTTTCTTGTTGTTGGGCAACTTGCCCGTTAGAATCTGCGAAGTAAAATAAACAACAACAACAACAACAACAACAACAACAACAACAACAACAACAACAACAACAACAACAACAACAACAACAACAACAACAACAACAACAACAACAACAACAACAACAACAACAACAACAACAACAACAACAACAACAACAACAACAACAACAACAACAACAACAACAACAACAACAACAACAACAACAACAACAACAACAACAACAACAACAACAACAACAACAACAACAACAACAACAACAACAACAACAACAACAACAACAACAACAACAACAACAACAACAACAACAACAACTCACAGAATGGCTAGCACGGCTTGAGTTGAATTTTAGCAACATAAGATCTTATGTCATTTGTTGTATTTAGGGATAGTTCAGAGGCGTGACAGACGAACTATTCTATCATTTCCTGGGGCTATTATTTGAATGCCACAACTTTCAGGGCTTCTTTTTGGTCTTCATGAAAAACTGGTATTGTGAACTTGATTCCGCTTCTTTCAAGGAGAAATAATTGAAAAGAAGTCCCGAAAAACGAGAAATTAGGTCCGAAAGTCATCCCGTCGCGGACCGTGCCTTATGACTCGCGCCGTTCGACGTTGAACGTCGCAACAACTGCTGCATGTCGGGTCGTATGAATCGTACAGGATTTTACAGCTCACCCTAGCCCTCCCCACAAGCCCTTACGTCCCGTACCGTCCCGTCCCGTCGGCGTTGCGTCGAATGTGAACTAGGCTTAAAGCGTTTCTGGAGGCAAATGTCCAGAAAGGGTGCGAGAACAAAATACAGTGTTCCTGAAGGAAATGGTGCACATAAATAGAGCATAAGGCAATGATGCAGAAAAGAAGTGAGAACTTACAAACAAGGCAATCGTGCAGAAAAGAGGAAACTGAAGAACTAGCGGTTCTAGAGGCTAAGACACAAAGAGGTAGGGACAAGCGACTCAATACAGTGTCAGATGGTGCTCTTGAATTCATCCTTTTGTTAGATATACATCTAACTTCAGCCGGCAGCTTATTCCAGAGAATGGCACCTTGGAAACGGGTGGAGGATTTTACAGCAGGACCCGGAAGGAAGGGGACACGTAAGAGCCATGTCACCTGTCATCCCCACGCGCAGTCTCATCACATGGGAGGGGAAGGTGAGCGCAGTCAAGACAAGCGCGAGCTGAAAGTCTCAGCTGTGAAGGACGTTGGCAGACGTACATGTGTGTCGTGGACGATACTGGCAAGACTATCAGACAAAACAGTCAAACCATAATTCAAGGACGCATAGCAGCATACCACACAACTAATTTCTTGTGTGGCTCTAAAGATTCGAGATCGATTGGAGCCGGGAAGCTCAGCGAACATGAAATGTGAACAACCGAACGCCTCAGTATCACAGTACAGACCTTCGACCAAGACAATTTAGATGGACAAATAAGCTATGTTGTTTAGAACTTTCCAAGCTGGAAGGCTGTTGGAGTGCGCATCCCAGACGTGCTGGGAGCTCATTGCCAGTTAGGTGTAGAACGCCAGTGTCGTGCAATCATTATGTTATCGCATGAGCTGCTTGTAAATTAACTGGTGGTGTTAGTGGACATTCTAGCGTAACTTGTAGTTCCTTGGTCCTCTTTTCTTCTTATAAATTATTATAATTTTAGAACTCCGATCAAGAGAACGAGCTGAACCGACTTTTCACAAAGGCTTTATTGCATTCAGTCCGTTACCTTGATCGCAGTTCTAAAGTTATTGTCGCCTCGCCGCCTCTTTATTATTAGTATAACATCTTTTTCAGGGCCGCAGCACTGGGATTTCATGTAGTCCGGTAAATGGGATACCGGTACTTGAACAAAAACGAACATTTTTGACTAACGAATTGGGTGGGTCACGTTTTTTTTATTAAACTATGATAAGGTCCAGCCATTGCCTGACCGGCCGGACTGGATCATGGATGGATGCTACATCTCTGTTCTGTGACTTTTCTGCTGCCTCCCGTCCTCTGCAGGTACCGGTACTGGTGAGAGGACCTGGATCAAGAAGTGCTATACCTCAACTGACACAGCCCAGATCAACTGCGGAACCCAGAACTCCACTTGCCAGATGCAGGAGACATCCAGTGCGACTGTCGGCTACTGCTGGAAATGCTGTACTGGTGATAACTGCAACTCAGGCACTCCACCCATCCCATGTATGCCTATGGCTATCATGGCTATGGAGAGCTCCAAGGCTTCCAACCTGCAAATTGTCAGCCCAATCACCATATTCCTACTCATTGCTCACATCTTCATTTCACTAAATAGACCTTATTAAATGAAGAGTTCAGGTGTGGAATACTGTTTGGGAATAGCTCAGACACCATTCGTTGTGTTCCCTTCCTAAGTTTCAGGCATCTACATTATGTAATGTAATTTGAATTATTACCATCTCTCCCGTCTTGGTGTTGTCTTGCGGCCAGCTTGCACACTGTACGAAGTTCTCGGATAATTAGTAATCACAGGTTTTTACATTGATCTCGGTCACTGATAATTGAGACATGAAACCAGCTGTGAGCACTAGGCCTTGGCGGATAATGCTCGAAAAGGTGGCAGATTCTGCTCGAAAAGCAGTAAAACCGGCAGAACCATACAAACCTTATGGCGGGCAATTCCTCGGATTCTGCTCCATTTCTTTATCCACATACCAAACATGCATGAAGCTTACCAGAAAAAGTACCGAATTCTGCCAATTTTTCTGCCGGCATTATCCGCCAAGGCCTAGTGAGCACTATTTTGTTCACCTTTTCCTAGTACCTATTCACGTTCGTCACAATTTGCACTGTCGCACAATGTACGGTCACTGAATACAGAATATCATTAAAGAGGAAGTGAAGCCTAAAATCAAAATTTCACCAGTTGTAGTCATCGGGGTGCTGAGTCGAATGGTTTCGGTCCGAGGAAGCTGAGGCGCTCCCTTCCTCCTTTATTCCCAATCGAACTGGCGCACTTCCACCGAAACTGGGTGCTGGGTCCCCTTTAACAGCACAGTTCGTCATCATTATCGCCATTTAAAACGTTGTGGTCTCGGAATTAGCTTTTTAAATGGCCCAGTTAAGTCAGTAATAGTGCCAGGCTTTGCAGTGAGTGAAGCTAACCAACATGAAATATACCATTGGCCACCCTGTACTGCTGTAAGCCTCAAGTATCCCTGGGATATTGTAACAGGTCGAAGTTGATATTTGAAGAAAGAGGCTGAGCAGGATCCTGCTCTGGGCTTATATATCAGATAGGTGTGAATATTGTGAGAAGGAAGATGAAGGTGAGAAGGTAAAAGGTGTGAAGGAAGGTAAATGGGTGAGAACTGTGACATCATCCCTTCCCCATTAGAAGGCACAACGTGAATTTTAAAGAAAGTAATAATAAGAGGAACAAGTATTAATGGCTCAGACTGTATCAAATCCACAATCAATAATTGATTGTGGATTTGATTATTATCAAGGCCTCTACAATGTAATGCAGTGGAGAGAGCCAACCCAATTAATTCATTGAAACAACACTAGAGTAAAAGCTTGCAACAGAGTTCTGACACCCAACACAACAGAGTAGTTCAATCGATATGCTCCTAAGACTAATGCGGATGTTGGCGCACATACCCAGCAAGCTGCACAATGGGCTTTCCCGATTCATCTAGCAGATGGTCTCTGGGTTCCCACGTGGCTACGTCCAGGGGATAGCCCTTCCAATGTACAAGGTATTGAATTTGACTACGCAGACGACGGTGATCCAGAACTGCTTCAACCATGAAGCGTGTGCTACCGTCGAGGTCACTGAACGATGGCGGAGCTGGCTGCCGTCGGCCGGGGATAACATTTTCCTTGTACGGTTTGAGTGCGGTGACATTAAACACTGGGTGACACCGGGAAGAGCCAGGCAGGTCCAGCCGGTATGCATTCGCAGCAACTCTTTCTACAATCGTGAAGGACCCCCGCCCAGTGGGTGGTCGATCCACTAGGTTAGCCACGGAGACTGCCCACTGCCACCCGCTCCAGCTCAAGTCGTATTCAAAATTTAATAATAATAATAATAATTTTATAATAGCAATAAAGCGAACAAATTCTGCAGTCATCGCCACACTACAACGAAGTCATAAAAGTTTACCAGAATTAATTTTCTTGTCACATTCATCAGTGGAAAGTCGTGACTGAAGAGTAACCATGCTGAACAATGATTAAATATACATGTACATTCGAAGATGTGTTACGAGAACAAAATACAGTGCCAAAATAGAATGAGGGAAACGGTGAGACAATAGAAGTGAAGTGAGAGCTAAGTGCAACGGCGGGTGAGAAACTAATTATAACGCTAAAACTGTGAAGTGAGACAAACAATCATGCCGTGCACCTACGAAAACAATTTTAACGCAACCACATGTTTCTTCTGCTTACAAAGGTCAGGCTTATGCAAACGAATACAAACAGCCTCAAGTACTTTCAACTGACTAGCATACCGTGCACGACAAAGAACAGAAAAACTAAAATCATCATACACCTGCAGACACTTAGGGTGAGACAACAAGTGAAGAAAAAACGGCAGACTTCTTACGATCACAATCACCATCTGATTCCTCGTCTCCAACAACCGCAACCTCGTCCTCCGTCTCATCTCCCAACTCGTCCTCAGTGTCATCCTCCATGTCATTCTCCTCATCAACACCGATGGATCCCAGGCTCGCTTCATGTTGTCTAACCTCTGTTCGTTGACTCCTCCTTTGATCTTGATGGTAAATTGTTACCATTGTTGTTGTTGTTGTTGTTGTTGTTGTTGTTGTTGTTGTTGTTGTTGTTGTTGTTGTTGTTGTTGTTGTTGTTGTTGTTGTTGTTCCTGTTGTTGTTAAATCTTGTGTTCCCAGTGTCCTCGCCGGTGCTTGACCTCCAGTACTGTAATGATTCATTGAATAATAATCGTCTAGGTCTTTGAATGTTGATTGTGTTACTTTCTTTGTTGAATTCCGTTCCCTTCAGCCTTCTTTCTCGTTGTTCACGTTCAGTGCTTGCCTCATCCATATATGCACGTGCCACCAACACCACAGACTCAGCCCCAGCACTGCCGATGATAGATGTAGGTGGCGGTTCTGGGGGAGGCAACGGCAAAGACGGCGATGAGGGCATCACCTCATCACAGCGTCCACTTTGGTCTTGAGCTGAATGTTGTTGTGGTGTGTTATCTTGTGTTGTTATGGTGCATTGTGTTGTGGTGACAATATGCCCATTATCCGACTCCAAGGCTCTCGATATGGGTAATGGAGGCACTATTGCCAATTTTGGTGTCGATGGCTGTGGCCGAGGGCCGAGGTTAACAATGTAACTTAATTTGCTCACTATGTTGTCCCTATTATTATTTTCCTTCGAGTTTTGTGTCGTGCTGAACTTGATAATTTTCCACCTTGTCACGAGTGTTGTTATCTAATTATTATCTTTACGCTATATAACTTTTAGTCTTTCCAACTTGAGCCATTCGCTGTGTAATCCTTGATGAGAAGGGACCGAAAAAGTTCGGATACTTATGACAAGTGCCTTATTGTGACTGGATGTGTGTTTGCGTGGATACTTGCGACCCATAACTTACCTTCGTTTTAAAATAATAATTAACGCAATAAATTGGTGGTAAAAATGTAGATAGACTCCAATACACGCATATACCTTTGACAACGTGAACGAGACCAAACGGAAAAGCAATCATCAGTATAACTAGAACGACAATCACTATTCTGAACAAGATGGTTAGCAACAGAAGATTCATACACCCAAACAACACTACTAGAACCAGTACATACTTTGGAATTACGTGACAATGAAACCGACCTGACATTCCTTGCCGCTACTGCCATTCCAGACGAGGCCGATGTAGATGTCAATACCAAAGGCACGTCCATTAATGGCACTGCCTGCTGCGATGATGCTCCCTTTGACGTTCCAATGGCTGTTGATGTTGATGATGATGATGATGATGATGAAGAGGAGGAGGGAGATGAGGAAGATGCTGACGACGACGATGACGACAATGACGGAGACGATAATGACTCTGCCAACCTCGCCCTAGAGCGAGCCACTGGTCCCGCAGACACACCATCCGGTGGTTTCTTCGGTGGTCGGCCACGCTTTCCGCCACCGGAGGTGGACACAACGAATGACGGTAGCGAGGAAGTCAAAGAAGACGAAACCGCAGATACCAACGATGATGGCGGGATAGAAGGAAGAGGCGGTAAAGACGAAGGCAATGACAAACAAGCCGATGACGACGAAGAATACAACGACACCCCAGTTGGTTCCGTCCCCAGCGAGGGTGCACCTCCAGTCTCAGTACCATTCTTTGGGGGACGACCTCGTTATTACTTGCATTGTGCGTATCATATTGAGTTTAAAACTGATGTTGATTTGCCAGTAATCCTTCTGATGAGATGGCCTCGAAAACGTTTAAAGGGAAACTGAACGCCAAAAATAAGTATGGCTTATCCGAAGGAGAATTGGGCACTGATTCCGATGAGCTATGTCTCGAGCCGATCAGAGAAGAGGAACCGTGTCAAATTTCATAAATAACGCCTTCCATATTTGGAAATTGGGCTTGATGACGTGCGTACTGCTTAGCTGTCACCATGCTGTGCATGCTCAGCAGTGTAATTGAATGGAAGAAAACAATTACTTTGGTGTTTTGCAGCTCTATTTCGTTCCCTGACGGTAACCAAATCTAGATGTAGGAATCTGTAGAGCAGGAGAGTGACACATGTCTTCCCGAAGGCTGTCCAGGCTGCAGTGGTGAAGAAGAAGACACGATCATCACCCCGAGATCGATTGTAGCGAATTGGAAAACTCATGGTGAATTTGCTTCCACTCCAAGGCAATGTCGAGGTATGAAGGGTGCTTGTACTGCCTTCTAAAGTGAAGAGGAGATGAACATGGCTGTGCATAGCTGTTGTTCTATGCCAACTTACCTACTCTTGCTGGTACCGTAGTGCATAATTGCAAAATTTCGTGGACGAACAACTCGAGTCACTAGTGGCTAGTGAGCAACGCTAACAGGTGAGATTTTTCAATTTGACAAAAATTGTTTTTGTTTGAGAACTGACAGTGGCAGTCATTTGACTCAGTAGGTGTCTCTCTGCTGCTTCTTTCCCTTCATTGGTAGGGTTGTGCTTGAATAGTACAGGTGCTTGAAGTAAAATAAAATAAATAGAACATGTGGAACATAAATCTAATCAAGCATCAGTACATGTATTGCGAATTCAACTTCAAAGCACATGAAATCACAATGATCACTAAGTTTATGGAATCAGGAGGA